ATAGTTACCTATGATCTGTATCACTTAGAAAATGTCAGTATATTTTCTTATACACTGAAGAAGTAGAGGAGTCTACATCTGTGGTTCTTCCAGGAGAGAGTATAAGGCAGGAGAAATTTAGTGCAAGAAAGAAAATGTTTTCATAGTATGTGCACTGAAACTTATGGCAGTGCTGCTCATTCTGCTCTTTGCTTTAATAAGGAGTAAACAGCCATATGACTCCATCCTGGGCAGAGGAAGCCTGAGAAAAACTTTGATCCAAAGTAAGTCATGGTACATGGAAAGGCTTAAAAAGCAAGAGGAGCAGCACTTCATTTTCTTGAGAAAATAGATACCAATAGTTATCAATGTTTCTTCAAAGCATAAAGGAAGCACTTGGAAACAAACCTCCCCAGCATCATTTTCTTTTCTACAATGGCCATCTTGGCTAGTAGCCTTGAACCTACCCAATCAGAGACCAAGTTAAACTCTAACACAAATGATATTCATCTTAAGCTGGTTACCAGGTTAAAAGATCCTTCTGGTCCACTCCTGTGACAAGGTAACCAAACTTAACAAGGGAGCTAAAAGAAATATGATAAGCAACTAGTCTTTAATGTCAGAGAGTCTAAAGGACATAAATAATTTAAAATTATAAAAACTGTATCTCTTAAAGGTATGTTTTGCTTTCATAAAAATTTCTGATTTTTTTTCAGTCTCTAGATAAGACTTCTGTAGGACCTACTGTGTTCTAAATAAATCAGCAACAACTAAAAGCAGATTCAGTATTTTTGCCATGGATTTATGGTGGCACTCATAAATATGAATAAGATTTATTTCAAATTTTTCACTTCAGTTCATTATAACACAGAACTTGTGAAAAATAGCTTATTTAGGACCAGAAAGAAAAGACTTATTTGAAAAGAATTATGTGCAGGATACACCAAATGTTTCCTTCTTTCAAAAATTTCCGTACTACTGAAATATATACAATTGCGATAAATTTGACCATAAAGTTATGTAGCTTATTTGATCTAAAAAGAAGATGGTGAAAAAAATCCAAGTCAAACCAAAAAGCAAAACAATGGCCAGTTATAAAAGTGAGCTATGACTCCACTTCTTTTGTGGCTGCTGAAACCTGAAGTTTATAAAGTGCTTATAAAGCTCAATTTTTTCACCTTTATACTTTGTGAAATTGCTTGATGCATGCATGATCAGTCCACAAAATTCAACTTTTAGTGATGTATTCTCAGCTTCTTATTGTATGTCCACTGAATGCAACAAGAATTTGTCAAGAATTGTCACCTGAATTCTAAATGCATATTTTTTTATTCAATATTTATGTTTAAAGCTCTCTACTGTAGTACTCCAGAGTCCCCTCCACACGGTTTCATTGTCAGTCAGACAGGTGGACAGCTCAACAGTATGGTTCGCTGGGCTTGCGATCGAGGGTTTCGGCTCATTGGGAAAAGTACTGCTGTATGCAGGAAGTCTCCATATGGTTATTACTCATGGGACGTTCCAGTCCCAGCTTGTCAAGGTAAATCCTTTAATTCAAAAAAAATATACTCTAAGAAACTTTCTTTTTCCTTTTCTAATGTAAATCATCAGTCTTCTGACTTAAAATGAATAGCGGCTGAACATTTCATGGTCGTACTTCTGTACCAAAATTTTTCTACATCATAAAACTTACTTAAAAAAATGTGGTTTTTAGAAACACTATTTCAAGAGTATTTGCTAAGACTGGCAGATACTATGAATAACCTATATCACTGTGAGATAATCTCTCCCCCAATACACATTTAAAATATGGAATCATTGAGAAGGTTCATTTACAATTATCATGATTCTAGAAGAGTATATATATTAAAAAGAAGACCTGAAACTTGAATTTCCAAGAATGGGAAACTGGGCCAGGAAATCATTATCTATGCTGCCATTCTAATGTATTGTGGTTTGAATTGAAATTTAAAAGATAATTCATCATGTTAACCATATATTTTGTTTCTTATAAAAGCAAAAAATATTTTGCTTAACAGTTAGAAGGAAATTGTTGTTTAATACCCATAGCAATTGAGTTCTAATTCTTTCTTTCCTAAAAAGAATGTTATTATTCTGATAACTTACCTATGTCTCTATTCAGTGAATGATTGGGATGATTTTTTCATGAAAATTTTCAGATGTGTTTATTCAAAATGTATATATTTTGTTGTCAATAAGAAAACTGCTATAGAAATGTTCCATGTTACTTTACCCACAAGTTTTTTTTGACAAAAAGTCTTTGAACTCTAGATTTCTAATGCAAAAGGAAAAAAAACACTCAGTTTCACAGGTTTTTGATAAACATCTCTTAATGTATGTACCTATATTTTTAAAATCTAAAAGTCCTTAATAAAAAAAAACAAAACAGGCATGCATTTGCTGCCTATCATTCCTTACGATTTTCACCCAAGGATTGCTTTCATGGCACTTATTTGCAGAACTTGTTCAAACTCTTAATTAGATGTATAAGACAATGTGGAATTAAAAAAAGCCAAAACACCAAACCTGCAAACAAACCTAGCTTAGCAAATTCAAATACCAGATGATTATTCTCAACAATCTGAATAGAGTTCAGGAATGAAAATAGTTGCAATGCTCAGATAACACTTTAGAAACAAGTGAAGTTAGGTGCTTACTAATCTCACATTGTCTGATCAAGTACAAAGGCTGTTGGTACCAGCTGTTAGTGTACTGAAAATTAATGTATTTATTAATTGAATCACACTTAGTTAATTATAATTATGGAGCCAGATTTGACACATGACATGAACTTCATTGAATTCTTCTAACAAGTCCTTGTGACGGAAAGCGATTTCTGGCCATGTTAAGTACCAGCAACTCAAACCAGCAAATTCTTTATATTCATCTTAAAGACACATTAGTGCAAAACACTTTGGGAATAAGCTGTTTCCATACATCATCTAAGCTCCTTATTGTTTTGCTGAGATGAACACTATTCCACATACCCAGATGATACAGAAGATTCAGTTTATTGTATGAAATGATTGAGAACACCATAGGACACTTACAAGACACAAAAACTTCGCCTTTTCCCCCAATCCTGAGCAGTACAGCTTCACCACGAAGTAATTCTAACTTTTTTGAGTATGGCCTAGTGAGTTATAGAACTTCATTGTATTCAGTATGAACAACTTGTTTTAACAAGCATTATAGTTGCCAGTCAAAATTTGCCAACTCTTTTGCCAGGTGATATCAGAAGACAGTGTCACAGCCTTACCTTCTACTTCACATTATCTATCATTCGTAGCATAAATTGCAAAGGCACTTTTTTTTTTTTCAGTTCTTTCACGTATATGAATGTAAAATTGCCAAATGAAAAAAAGGTACTAGACTTTATTTTGACATAGAAGTGGAAGTTCAGGAAAATATACTTGCAATTTTGCAATTTCTTTCAAAACAGCACATTTTTTTTTCTGCCTCCAAGATGAGGATCTCAGAAGATCCAGTGTTTTAAAATGTTTGTTGTTCTCCCAGTTATATTTTACATTTTCTTTTTTATTTTCTATGCCAGAATTATATGATTCTTGGTTTTAATTGTGAAGCATTTGTCTTGCAAATAAACATCGCCTACCACAGACCTCATCAGAAACCAGTATTAGTATTTTATAATATCATATATAGGTAATGGGCAAATGCTTTTACAGGAATTATAGGTATAGGCATTAAGTAACTGAAGTTTAAAGCATAGCACTATATCTGGAAAAGTTCATTACCTCAGTAATGTAAATTATCTGTAACAGTGTTGCACAACCGGTGATTATTATGCAAGTTATACTAAGGCACTAAAAAAGCATTAAAGATAAATAAATAAAGAGAATACCAAGAACATATAGTTAATATAATAGTTATTGAATTTCAAATAAATAGTTTGCATTTTTTAAAGTGATTTGTAAGGCAATTTACAGAAAATTTGCTTTTCATAAAATTTCTTAATCCTTCAGAAGTTGAATGTTAAATTTGTTAATTTCAGAGGAGTGCATCACTGAATAGCTTCAGTAATCTCACCTACGCTTGAAATATTCCTGGTAAATGTTGCCAGCTCTGAACTGATGTCTGCATTGATACCCACTTTTTTTCTCTTCTTCCTGAGATGTGAAAGGTAGCTAGATCCAAGATCATCTAGTTCCAATCCCCCTGTGATGAGGAGGAACATGGCTCACTAGACCAGGTTGCTTGAAACCTCTATCCAAGCTGGTCTTGAACACTTCCTCGGATGGGGCACTCACAACTTATCTGGACAACTCTTCTGTGAAAGTTACCACATATGCAAAATTCCGTTCAAAACTGTTATAAACTGTCATTGAGTTACCCTTGGGAGCTCTATTGTTTACATGAAAGTCCATTATCAAGCATTTGTTGTGCCAAGTTGAATCTTGTTTCTTAAAAATTTATGGTTAAGGAGGGATATATTTTTCCTGTGCCGCAAGATTGATTCTGTTAACATGGATAATGTGACTCAAAATCTATCAAGTCATTAAAGGAGATTTTAGAATACTGAAGGAGTAATTACTCTCAATGCTAGATATAAAACATCTCAGGTTGTATCTACAATTCTATGTTTTGCTGATTGATAAAGGAGACGGAATTTGCAGTATGTGAATGAACAGTGCTGCAGAATTGGTTGGTGCTCAGGATTATAATCAATATTGTTTGCACATTGCAAGTATTTTGCACATGGATATTAGTTTTTATACCATGCTGAATGCTGACCCTGATGTGACAGACAGTGGACTTGGTTTTAGCCACTGTGTTATTGTCTGAATGTTCTTATTATTATTAACATGTGTTTTTAAAGGAAGAGGTTAGATTTGGCCAGTTATGCAGTAAAGAGTATTATTTAATACAAGATTTTGGTTATCCTCTTGGCATGGATAGAGCCACCTAATCTGCAATCTAGGCTATAGAGGAACCTGAGAAATAGCAAACACCAATTTGGTCACATGTTTTCATTTTAGTGTCATGGGAACTCAGTTTCTTTCTTTGATACTATCAAGTGAAATAGTACAGCTTTATTAGATGTTTAGTAAAAAGTGGAACATGAAAATTCCGGTTCAGTTAACTTGTCACTTTTTTTCTGTCTTGGATCATGTCCTCATACCCTCTAGAAGATTGAATTTAATTAATTTCTTGGGGCCTTCTGTTTCTTAATCACGGTTTTCTGATTTTCATCTAAATGTGTTTGCCTTTAGTTGCCAGTAGATATTGTGGTAGCCATAAGAATTATGTGCTTATGGTTGCCCAGACAGGGTGAGAGCAAATTAGCAATTGTTTCCTGTGGTCTTTTCAGCACAGTGTGTCTGTACTGTGGTCTGTTTTTTTAAAAAATTTACATGTCATATGTAGGGTTTTTTTCACGACAATCCAAGCATATTTTAACATTGATATTACCACATCTCTTCTGTAGATTGTTATAGTATTGGTGCTTTACCTGTGTCTTAGCTGTGATTATTAGCTTTGATACTTTGCCACATGGCTGTTATATTGCTTATGAAGCAGATCAGTTTTATGTCAGATCAGCTCCCAGTAGGGGTAAAAATAGATTGCACTTCCCACCCATGGCCCAAGTATTTAGACATAGTCTGAGAGGATTAACTTTCCTATGTATGCATGATAGGTACTTTCTTAGTGCTCAAGGTACTTCAGAGTTAAGTGCCTAAGCGTTTTTTTTCCCTTTTTCCTTTTTTTTATCTGACCTACATTAGGTATGCAATGTTAGAATGTGGAAAAGGTTTAGCTTGCATTTTTGTTCCCAAAACAGAGCATTATTTAGAACCAGATTGTCTCTTGGTACTTTCTATTAAAAAAACAAACAAACAAAAAAAGAGACTTACACTTTTATTTGTGTTTTCAACTTCCTCCTCTAAGTAATGGAGGAGCCAGAAAGGAGAGGTGATATGCTGGACCTTCTTCTCACCAGAAAGGAGGGGCTGGTGAGAAATATGAGGTGGAAGGACAGCTTTGGGTGCAGTGACCATGAAATTATTGAGTTAAGTTCCTTAGAGCAGTGAGAAGGGCGCAAGCTTGCTACCCTGGAATTCAGAAGAGCAGACTTTGGCCTCTTCAGGGATTTGTTTGGTAAAGTACCATGGAATAAAGTCCTAGGTTCAAGAGGGGACCAACGTAGCTGGTTAATATATAGGATCACCTCCTCCAAGCTCAGGAATGATGTATCCTGACTGAGAGAAATTCAGGCAAAAATGCCAGGAGGTCTGCCCAAATGAACAGGTCTGGTGTGCCCCGCATAAGAAGAACATTGTTGAAGTGTGTCCAAAGAAGGGCCACGAAGGTGATCAGAGGGATGGAGCACCTCCCCTATGAAGACAGGCTGAAAACATTGGGGTTGTTCAGCCTGGAGAAGAGAAGGCTCCGGGGACACCTTAGAGCAGCTTTCCAGTACTTAAAGTGAGCCTACAGGAAAACTGGAGAGGGAGTTTTTCCAAAGGTATGCAGTGACAGTACAAGGGGGAATGGCTTTAAAATGAGAGAGTAGATTTAAATTAGACATCAAAGGAATTCTTTTCTGTGAGGGTGGTGAGGCACTGGAACAGACTGACTAGAGAAGTTGTGGATGCCCCATCCCTGGAAGTGTCAAGGCCAGATTGGATGGGAGAAGCAACCTGGTCTAGTGAAAGGTGTCCGTGCCAATGGCAGGGCTGTTGCAACTGAATAATCTTTATGGTCCCTTCCAACCCAGGCCATTCTATCATTCAATATTTTCAAAAGAGTATTTTCTTTCTGCTTTGCTGTGGAAAAGTAGAATGTTGCAAGTTAATTTTAGTGTTTTGCCAAGGGTCGCACAATACATCTGATGGAAGTAAACTGAAGTACAAACTATATTCATAGTGTCTCAGAGTGGTGCCCTACTCATTCAACCATGCTGGTCATAGTTTTTCCATATATGCTCTATTCTCTTTACTTTTTTTATCTTCTGCATTTTGAATGGTTAGCTGCAGAGTTGCAAGCCATTATTCTTATTTTTAATCTCCTCCATCAGAAGACAAAAGCTTCCTTAGATCAAATTCCATAAAATTTTAGGGGAATTTATTTGCATGCCTAAAACACATGTGAATGAGTTTAAAATTATACTTTTATGAATTTAAGATCATTGATGTTGCATTGCAATGCATAAAACTTTTAAGGTAAGTGGAGGCTTATATCGAAGATATAAAATAACTGTCTTTCTCTTTACTCAGCAATATCTTGTGGAATTCCTAAAGCTCCATTAAATGGTGGGATATTAACAACAGATTACTTAGTTGGCACTCGTGTTACTTATTTTTGCAATGATGGATATAGACTATCAGCCAAAGAGCTTACTACTGCAGTCTGCCAGCCGGATGGTACCTGGAGCAATCATAATAAAACACCTCGCTGTGTAGGTAAGTAACATGTAAAGAGTCTCCAGCGAGTAAGAACCTGTCTGTACATTTTATTTATTTATCCAGGGCACAGGTCTTCACATTACTCAAACTTTCATCTTCAGGTTACTTGCATCTATGAATTATTGCTGGTATTAAATTGTTATGAAATACATATTTGAAATGTATGTAACTAAGATACGTACTGAAACATTTTGTGACAGCAGAAGAAATATGCTAGAGCTTATAGAATACAAACTGATAATTAATTTACAGCTAAATCAAAGTTAATTATTGCAGAGGTCTGTGCAAAAGCCATCTCTTCAGTAAGAGTTGTGCAATTCACATACTGTTAGCAAACCCTTTTTGCTAGCCAGAATTGCAAACTTCTAGGATACTTGTTTGAAAATGCTGCTTATTATTTATATTCAGCCCATCACTATAGACCTACACCATCTAAACTTGGGGGAACAGTGCTGCAGAGAAAATGCATGTTTACTCCCAAACAGAAGTGTAGAGCAGTTATAAATGGGATATGAAACCCCAGGTGATTGCAAGACTGATACCAAAATGTCAGAGACCCTGATGCAAATTGAGATTTAGATTATCTCACCCAATGAATTCTGTAAACGAAAGGAAACATGCTCTGGAGTAATTTTCAAGGATTTTCCCTTTCTCCCTTTTTCATTCCTCATTCTTGTAAATTGCATTCTGTCATACATTTTCTTCTTTCAAAAATACCAATCCAAATGGAGAAAAATAAAATAGGAAAAAATTGTTATGCTTTTTAAACCTTTTTTTACTATATTAAAGTTGTGGAATATTTTGTTATATTTTGTTGGTTTTGTATATTTCTGGAGGAAGAATGCATAGAATTAAGACATGAGATAAAAAGGTGTATCTGCAGAAAAAACAACTTGGATGTGGATATTTTTTTGTCTGTCAGCAGTGTACAGCCTCTCAAATGAATCTTTTAGGTCTCATAGAATTTTTCTGGGTAGAAAAATAATTCCTGCATTGAAATGTAGCTAACATTTTAGTAAAGATTCTGCTGCCTGATGTAAAGTGTCATGGAAGGTCCATCATGAATTCAACCATGGTATAGCTTTTATCTACATCAATTACATCACTCCTCATACACAATCACTGCTCTCTCTGGATGATTATTAGTTAAATGAGATAAACCATACATGCTAACCACAGGCAATTTCAAATACAGCCTTAGTCTGCAAAGATTATGTCACTGTTTAAAACACATTTTTTGAATTAATAACAGTACACAGAGTTTTCCTAATTTGCTTGTACTAAGCCACAAATAACTGATTTTTTTTTTTGTTTTTGTTTTTGTTTTTGTTATTTTGGAAGTTGTTACATGTCCAAGCATCAATTCTTTTACACTGGAACATGGAAGGTGGAGAATAGTGAATGGCTCACATTATGAGTATAAAACAAAAGTAGTTTTCAGCTGTGATCCAGGGTATTATGGTTTGGGACCAGCATCTATCGAGTGTCTTGCTAATGGCACCTGGAGTTGGAGAAATGAGCGACCTTACTGTCAAAGTGAGTATGTATGTTATATCTGCATCTGCTGTACAGACTTCAGATAAAAATATTTTACTGACTGAATTAGAAATTAACTAATTAAGTATCAAACCAGTTAATTAGAAAGCATTTTTCTTTGCTGGAATTCCTGGGTATCCTAAAGGATATTGTTTGCACATACAACCTATTAGGTTACTGACGAGGACATATCTCTAAGCACATGTCTGGATTTTGAAGGTCCCTAAATCTATAAAGGTAAAAAAAAGTAGTAGTGTGCATCTTTCTATATGTTCTTCTAGATCAGGAATGCTGTATAGTCTAGAAAAATGCAAAAAAAAAAAGACCTCTCCTTTCAGCTAGTTACCATATAACGTGCATTTGGACTCATCCACATCGTTCCTACCATTAGGTGATATCCTGATAACCTGCAGTAGTTAATTTTCAAAGAATAAGTAATGAATATTCAGGTGTTTAAGCCAACTAAATGTGTGCCTACAATTAGGCTTCCCTCCCCCACCCCGTGAAAAAAAAGTTTCTTTATGTATTAAAATTTAGACATATCTTTTTCAAAACTGTGGAGATCTGGTTACACTTTGAAGCCTCAAAAGTCTTTCCCTTTATGAAACAACATGTGATGTACACTCTGATAGACAGGGATATGACTGAGCTTTTGGTGATGTGTGTATAAATCCACGCATGCTTTAAAAGTCTGTAGATAAGCCAGATAAGTGAGGCTTAGAATATATTTAGAATTCATTGACAGTGTATTTAAAATTATAAAAAGAAGAGGTTGCAAAATGCAATTCCAAAGATAGATTAATTTTACTGGAAATGACCCTTAATTTTAAGTTCATTATAACTGGAAATCTCATAATTTAGAGAATTTTTAAAAGTTAATTGCAATATTTCACCTCTGCTAGTGCTGTAAAGACTGTGTATATGTTTGTATCTATACAAATCTCTGTGTATATAGATATTATGCGCACTAAATTAGTATTTGTAACACTTTTTTTCTAAAGGAAAAACTATTTTTCACTGTTTTGAGAAGTTTGGTTTGAAATATTGCCACTTATATTTTTTTTAGCATAAAGTGCACTAGCTTCTTTCACCTTCTTGTTTATTAATAGTAACATTCTTTTTATTAATTATTGAAAGAAAATTGCTTAAAGTATTATTTTGATGGAAAAAATGCTATGTATTGTAAAGAAATTGCAAGGAATTGGTTGAACGTAGTTCACTTATTATAAAAATATAATTCATGAATGCTAGAGTCAGAATTTCATTATGAAACAAAAGATAAAAATGACAACTTCCCAAAGATCATAACAACAATTGTATTGCTCCAATATGCAGAAAAAGTACTTGATAAAACCAAGGTAATTAAATAGCATTAATAATTTTCTGAATGGCAGGCTTTTTTAACTTTACAGAAACAATTTTAATTGGCCTTTCTGCTCTCTTTCTAAGTATTATTTCTGGGCAAGTAGTAGTTTTGGTTTGCAGAGTTTTTAATCTATTTTTACTACAGAACAAAATATTTTAAGGTGTGTAATTTACTTATCTGGTTGCCTAGCTGATAAGTGTCACTAGTTGATAAGTATTATTATATGTGTAGAATTCAGCTGTACATTTCTGTTTTGTTTTGCTTTTGACATGAAGTTATTTCTTGTGGAGAACTTCCTACGCCTCCAAATGGAAATAAGATTGGAACTCAAATCACATATGGATCTACAGCTATATTTACTTGTGACTCAGGATACATGCTAGTTGGCTCCGCAGTGAGGGAATGTCTGTCATCGGGACTCTGGAGAGGAATTGAGACCAGATGTTTAGGTATGGATACTACTGTCATGACTTGCCTAGTTTCTTTCTCTCTAGCAGTCAAAAGTAAGCAAAGTCTCAGCTTGTGTCTTTGTGTTAGCAGAAACATTGATGAGAGCTCTGCATGTGTGTGGCTGGACTGGGTTGTTTTTCTTATCAAACTGCAATTATGGTTAACTTTTAAAAAATTAAATCCCTTTTTAATATCTTCCCAAGGTGAAAAATCTGTGCTACGAGATTTCTGTGTGTCTCTAAAATAGAACTGTACCTAAACAATAAGACAGATTGATTCTATATATACTAACTTGAATACATATCCTCAGTATATCTGAATAGTAGACCTGACCTCAGTGGCTGTTATAGAACTAAAATGTACTCTTGAAAAGATATAGAAGAAAACAAGCAAAAAAGGTTTGTGGAAACTTTGACAAGACCACTGCAGCTTTATTTCTGAGACAAAGTCACTATCCAGACACTATTTATAAGATTTGAGACCCTTTACTTGTACATGTTTATTCAACTTGGCTTATTTAAAATAGTCAGGCACCACTCCCTGAATTGTTTATGAATAAAATGAACATGTGAAGCAATTTTGGGGCTCCTTTCTGATTAATTATATTTTTGTGTACATTGATCTGGGTTATTTTATTGACTGTAGACACTTATATGTAATCAAAAAATGTGAGTTTCAGTTGAAATCAAAGCTATGGTAAGATTCTGATTTAGAATGCAATATGAAAGTCATATTGTACATTATCATTTGTGGGTACATGAAATATAAAAGAATATCCATAAACTGAGACTTTCAGAAGAGATGAACTAATATATACATTAAATATAGCAGTTTTTTGTACTATCTCTTTGTGCAGATTACCATTTACCTTTTCAGACTACTCTCCATCCCAAATATTTTTCCTTCTGTAATACAGAGTTAGCTGGTGCAAGTCTTCACTAAAGCTTAATTTGAATGATTCACAAATGACCAGAAGTGTTGCTTATCAAACTACAAGTCTGAAGCTGGAATGTTCCTTGACATACAGCTGAGAAGGACAGAGGATTTGTTTTTATTTTGTATTTGTAATGGAAATCATTTAGCAGATGGGGGAATAAAAGAAAAGATCTTCATGTTTGATGTTCTTTTTCTTCTAAGTTGTCACAAATTATAAGACAGACTGTTTAAAATGTAAAAGTTTTGGGGCACCATAGTATGTGTGCAATCAAAATGTTCAGCCTTTTTTTTTCTTTTTTAAATATTTTTACTGTTTTTTTTCTACAAAATTTGCAGCTATTGAAGTCTGAAGTATTGTTAAAAATTTCCTCAGAGAACTATTAATCTAAACCCAGACAAACTGTCTGTTATTTGTGAGTAGCACCTTGAAAAATACTTGTATTTAAGAATTTTGCCAAAATAACCTCATGCATCAGCACAAAATGAATTGAATTTCTCCTGCATTTGCCTAGTGAAATAAAAAAATTCAATATAATCTTAATAATAGCAACAGGTTACATAATCTTTCCTTGCAACTGAAAAGAAGACCCCTATTTCTCAGAAGAAACTCATTATTATGAAGTTCATACACTATAATATCCAGTAACAATAAATAGTGAGAAAATGTGTTAAAACAACTGTATGACTTGAGGGGAAAACAGTAGTCAAACAGACACCTGTTGTATCAGAATTATAGGACTATAATAAATCTTCAAATGTTTATCTTCATAGCCTTAATGATAGGAAATTGTTGAAGATGACATGAATAAAATTTTTTCTCCAAGAATCAGAATGTAGTATACATATTCTATAGTAAAGAAGAAAGGAAAGGAAAGGCAAGGCAAGGCAAGGCAAGGAAAGGAAAGGAAAGGAAAGGAAAGGAAAGGAAAGGAAAGGAAAGGAAAATAGAAAAGAGAAACGAGTGACAGCAAATTTATACAAGGGAGAGAATTATGGTTGCCATTATTGCTCTTGCAAAAACACTGCCTTCTGTATTATATCATTGTGCAGGAATGAACTTCCTACAAAGACCCAGACTAACTCAGTTCAATTCTGATTTCTTCCATGAGTGATTTGAGACTTAAGATAGATGCATAGGTTCAGCTAATGACAAATCAGAAGTAAAAAATGTTTTTAAGAAGGTTGAGAAAGAAAAGGTTGTTGGATGATGAAAGAAATAGAGGAAACGAAAGAAATATTAGAATGTAGGAGGAGATAAAATACAACAGAAAGATCTACAGAGTGGGCATTTTAATGGTCCAAGAAATGTATTTTTTGCAACTTATCAGCGAATTCTGGTATTTGTTTCAATCACTGAAAAATGGCAAAGAAAAAAGTTAATTTCACTTTTTGGTTCTAAAGCTTTTCTGCTCACAGCTCTAAACATCTTTCCACTTTTACTTGCTGAAAAATGTAGTTATGCTTGGACTGAAGTGAATATCAGTGTATTTCTGTTTTAACTATTGAAGATGCCCTTAAGAGTAGACTTAGATAGCATTAAAGAAATCCTATGGGATAAAATAATACATTTTTTCCAAGTATTTTCTTTAAAAATACAAATGATCTCTTTCAAAAGTGCCACATTTCATTTAGACAACTTGATTTTCATTCCAGTTGTATATAAGTCAAAAAATTTATGAAGGGTGGAATAAACAAGAATCTAAATATCTGCAGCAGAACTTAAAACTAGTTCATGTTAAACCTAATCAGATCTAGATGAGAACTAGAACAGAGGAAAGCATGAAATCACCAAAACCATTGACTAAAATCCAAGTTAAATTACAATGCAAATAAAATTCCATGACATTGTGAACAGTAGTGTATGATTTTAATGACAACTGTAATAGTGTCAGAATATGCTGATAGTTTTTGTAGCTCTTTGTCTTTCTTTTTTAACTCCAGCTTCTTTTACTACAAGGAGGATAACGCTTTATCAGTACTGAATCTGTGTCAAAGAGAATTAGAACACATAACACAACTGCCCTCCTTTCTGAATCTCACTTTTTTTCTTTAAAGAATACCTAAATAACAATGTAGTACTCCGTGATTAATCACATTAATGTAGTAATCTCCATTTGAATTGAATGAGGTTGAAAATTGAGTTCTGCATCTGTATTCTTGTTCTTCATAGCTGGTGAGAGGAAACAATGTTCAAATTGAAAAAATAAGCAAAACAAAACAGCAGAGAACTTCTGAAGTAATTCTGAAGTTTTAAAAATTAATAAATGTTTCAAAAGATTTTATGATTAAAAAAATGAAAAATTCACTAGTCTTTTAGAGTAAAATAACAGGCAAAGAAAAATCACTACTGTTGTGTTTCTAAGGTTACAGACTGGTTCTGAATTTATTGTGCTTGATATTTTTCTGTACTGAAAACACTGAAACAGTTTCTAGGGAAAAGTCTATGTAATAAATCCTGGAGAAGCATTCAGATATATAGAATAGATTTTTACTTCTAAAATACAGACTAACAAATCTGTGATTTTGTTATACACTTTCCTCATGGAAAAAAAATTAAATATTTGATTAACAAATTAATTGTTATATTTATATTTACATGAAAACAGCATATTTACATTATTTTCTTTTATGACATTAGTTTTATTTATTCTAATACAGTAGTAACAATTATCATCAAAATATATTTTCATAACAATAAAAACACTTTTTAAATGTATTTCTTTTAATGTCCATAATCATATATTTATTAAACTGAGCATTTCCTAGAGTGGAAACTCCATAGTACTTTCAGATTAACTTTTGGATTAACCGATATGTGAATGGTGAAAAACATTCCCACAAGTGTCCTAAGATTTCTCTAATATTGAATTGTTTTCCCTTTCCTCATTGGCACTAGTTTCAATTTTTTTAATTAGCTCAAAGGAGAAGCACTATGAAGTAATTTCTTTGGCACATAATGATTTGAGGATCAGGTCTACTATTTTTCCTCTTTTTTTTTTTCCTAAAAGAGTTTTCTTGCGGTCTTTTATTGGCTTCTAAAATGTTTCCTCTATTATTTTGGTAAGCATTTCAGAAAACACAGTCAGAAACACTCAACAAAGTAAAACTATGAAAGAAAAGTATAGCATGCTTTGGAAAATCTTTCTGTAGGATACAATTCTTCTTATATATTACGCAGCAACTGTTTTCTTAGATTACTCCAAAGCATTCGGATTTCTTTCTGGGACTGTACTCACTGTTAATGTTACGTGCAAAGATTGATTGATTGGTGAGCTTGCTCCTGGTATTCACATTTCATGAACTTGTGACTCCATCCTCTGCAACTCAGCTGGACTACACTTAATTCTTATTTCCTTCTTTCTCAATTACTCCTGATGTCTAAACATATTGATTAAACAGATTTGTTGATATTCTCTCCCTTATTTACCAAAAGTCATTGTTCTTATTCCCTACGGGAATATTGTGTCCAGCTACTGCTGGAACACTAAGTGTATTCAGTTCTGCAAATTAGTATTAAATCTTAAATCAAGATAAAAAATGAAATATGATCAAATTTTTAAAGGTCTGTAAGATCTCATATTTTGTTGTTAGTTGTGACATAAATAAATTATGTTATCTTAGTTCACTTGAGAAGTAAGTGCACCATTACAAAAATGTCCATATGAATTAAAATGCAAAAGCAAAGAATGGAGTTGACTCAATCAATAAGACATAACTAAGTGTGGTTCCAATACGTGACTAATACTATAAAAGTTTTTAGTAAAGGCAGTCAGAGAGTAGAAAAAAAGCTACTTGGGTTAGAATGTATATAAATGTCCACATTTGTTCATACTTTTCATGTACCCATATCGGGAATGCCTTTCATCTATTCTCCTAAGATATATACTAAACCTCACGTACTGTGTCTTTGTCTACATTAACAAATAATCCAGCAGAAAAAGCAGATCATGAGACAAATAATTCATTCTGAATTCTCTACTTCTGCATTACATATGCTTCAGAGAATTTTCCTTGGATGGTATCTGGTGTAGTCCTCTGGGCTAAATGTCATCATTACTCATAC